AGCAGTGAACAGGAGTCCTTCTCCTCCGCGGCGTCATCGGAAGCGACAGAGCGGCCACTCGGCGGCAACTGTATGTCCGGCAGGGGCGGGGAGGGAGAGCGGGAAGCGGGAGGCGGCGGCGGCGGCCCGCATTGTTTTCCGCTGGGGGCTCCGGCGGCCTCTGGGAGCGGCGTTTTTTCTTACGCGGCGAAGAGGAAGGCGGCGCGGGAGCGGATTTTGCTGCCAGAAGTCGTGCCCGCAGGGACGACAACGGCAGGCTCTCACAGAAGTCGCATCCTCCATCCGCGAGGGCGAGTTCTGCGTGCTCGAGTCCCAGGCAGAGAGCGCAGATGACATGGCGGTCTCCGTCCTCGAGACGAGCGCGGCAAGAGCCGCAGGAAAAACGAGACATCTTTAAAAAGACGCTCGGCTCTTTTAGATATAATAGAGAAGGATACAGTCGTCCGATGGCGCTAGCTTGCAGGGCGGCTGAAGGTGGCGAAGACGGCCGGCTTCTTCAGGGTCCGGGAGCTCGCTAGAGTGATGCCTTTTCGACGGCGACGGCTTTTCTCAGGACAGCAGAAGCGTGCAGCTTGCTGAAGATGAAATGAATCAACATATAAGCCTGGGAGAGACTGTTATATACACCATAGCCACGCCCATTCTGGCGGGCCATGACGCAATGAGCGCGCGGGCGCCTCTCATTGGAAGCGGGTTCAGCCCCGCTCTCCCATAGGCTTAAGCAGTTCTCTCTGAGCGAACCAATGAGCTGCTAGCTAGCCTGCTCTAGGTCTGCCGCAGAGGAACTGCGTTGTGTATGGATACAAATTATGAAATAATTTTTGGCTTCAATATCTCAGCAAAGATGAATCTTTCCCGCAGCGTAAGCTAGCTTACGCAATACGAGAGAACCTCTCGTAAGAGAACATTTTTTTAATTAATTTGATTAATATGTGCGAGGGAGAGAGAGAGAGAGAGAGCAAGACAGCGCTTAGTTTAGAGACGGTGAAGCCTTGTTTATACTTTCGCTTGGCTACGCAGAGAGAGAGTGCGCGCGCGCGACCGGGGCTCTCTCGCTCTCTCTCTCTCTCTCTCTCTCTCTCTCTCTCTCTGCGCTCGTTCAGTTCACGCGCCCTGTCACACGCGCATGAGGAGAAAAACACAGACGTCCATAGGGAGGCACTGGAAGCGTGCGTTGCACACACCAACATGCAATACTCTCTTACAAATCTGGAACGCGGTCATTCTTAGAAGTATCGATACTAATAAATTTAGGTATCGTGAAGTTTTTAATTTCCGAGTATCGCGATACTTTTGAAGTATCGGTGCACCGTGCAACACTAGTGTATTGTGTCAACATCTCACCACCTTTTTATTTAAAGGTTTTTTCACCTTTTCCAGTTTTCCACTTTCTCCTATGTCATTTTCTCCATTTTACTTCTCACATGATAAAATAGATTCCCTACTGCACCCATTCGAGCGCAAAAAATCTCTTCAATGCTGACTTAAAAGACTAGTCTCGCAAATGTCTAGGCTGGGTGTGTGAGACTGTTGTCTGCTCTTGACCCTGTTCACTTTAGATCCCATTACTTTGCACACTGACTCTGGCCCCCATCTAGATGAACTTACTCTCAATGCTGACCATCAGCCAAGCACGTCGTGCACATATGCAAAGAGATATGCCTACTTTCAGGCAGTACAGGTGCGCGCAGATACTGACAATGCTATATGCAAATTGTATGTGACACATTCAAATAGCAACCAGAACGCCAACCTACGTGCACTGAATCAAGCAGCATTCTCAAACTAACACTGCCAATATATCACTGCCACTAAACTATAGATGCATGGAGGATTGATAGATCAATTGACAGACAGACAGATTGACAGATAGATAGATAGATAGATAGATAGATAGATAGATAGATAGATAGATAGATAGATAGATAGATAGATAGATAGATAGATAGATAGATAGATAGATAGATAGATAGATAGATAGATAGATAGATAGATAGATAGATAGATAGATAGATAGATAGATAGATAGATGGATAGATAGATATGGATGGACATGGACGGACAGACAGACAGAGACGGATAAATAGACAGACAGATTGAGCATTATGACAATAAATCCCTTGGGGACAAAGTACTTCAGCTACAGTGACATGGATAGGTTCGTTAACCTTGACCACAGTGGAGATACTTGTGCACGTGTTTGTTTATGGAGCCTTTGAATATACAAACTGAGCAATCAGCCTACTTGGTAATTAGCCTACTCTTCATACAGGTGATGCCAGGTTATGGTGATTTGCTGGGTGTGACAGAGAGTTTACATGAACGCAGTGGGCAGTTCATGCAATTACCCAAAGCATCTGAACACTTTCAAACCGCATCAACCGAGGAGTATTTTGAACAGACAGTGTTTGAAAGTACACGCATGCATACACGCAAATTCATCTTTCTGTAAAAAAACAAATTAAAACAAATTACAGCTACAGGCAACGTGTATAATAGTGATATTGGATATCACGTGATAGAAATTCACTTCCATTTATGGTCTTGCACCTGCATAGCATCATAAAGTGAACTGCGTATGACTTCCAGGCAGGGTGTGTGTGGTGTAGGGGAGATGTCACGAGGAAGAGTGTGTGACAGTTTATACAAGTTCAAGCTGATGAAATTTGTTGTCTGAAGGTGAAAGATAAGTTAGGCCGTCCGGTCAGGTCATTTTAGGAGACTGTCGAGACATCTGTCTCCGAGCCTGTGGGCATAATGAAAATGTCCATCTCTCTCTATGAATCGAACCAAGCAATTCAAACGAATACAATGCAAATGACCAGAGTCACTTCAAGTAGCCTAATGTAGAACTCTTTTGTCCATGTGCCATAAAAACACAAGGAATAGTGTTATATCACATTGATACAAAACACTGACTCATTTTCCTGACTATGACTCAGTGGTCATGTGCGCTAAACATTTGTCCTTGTGCTTCCTGTCTCTCGCTCTCCGATTTCATTCTGAAGTAAATTCTGACCTCTAGTGGACTCAATGTGCCATTGTTGTTTTTAATGTAGTCGTTTGCATATCACTGCTCACTGTATTCACAGGGGTTAAATATGTGTAACTCCATGTTTTGAGTTAGAAGTCCAAATGTGTAAATGCTATGTTGATTTCACACCTAGATTAAAAGCCGTCTAAACGTATATTCATAGCAATATCTGAAATATCAAAGTTTTTGTATCTCAATAGGCTACTGTAGCATGTTGTCACAAAAGTTTTCATTAAGTCATGAAGAAGCCTATTGAGTTATAGTTATGTTATACTATAGCAAATGTGATATAGGCTAATATGCCAACATTTCAATTAAAACTGATTTTGACTTGCATTTCGTCTCGATTAGTTTTGTCCCAAAGACCCCAATCAACAATTCGAATTGATCAGCTTTCGTTGTTGTTGTTGTTATTATTATTCGTGGCTTTGTTGTAGCAGTTTAATTTATTCAACAATAAAGCTTTAACTTTTCATGCACCGTAAAATGACCATACATAGCCTAATATAATGAAGGAAATAATTTCTAGACGTCTCACAAGAAATCATAACGCTGACTACACGGACACGAACTTTATTCACATTAATTTTCTAGAATTCACATACTTTGTACAATCCAAGAACATAACAGAATCCCACTGAACGTAGTTTGCTACACAGTGTGATACTTTGCCACGACACTTCTATACAAGGCATTTAGAATCCAGTATTATGGAACACATACAACTGATCATTATTAAAGATAAGGACACCAGCACATTCATTCTAATAAAACATGTTGGATCTAATATTCTTTTTTTTAAATGTCTTTGATGATGCACAACCAGGCACATGTATCTTAATATATAGCCTATGACAATAAATGGATTTCAAACAAATACAACCCACAATATGTGATTTATCAAATTCATCACCTGCACACATTCACTTTCTTCACTCCCATATATAATAATGGCCTTTTTTCGTAGCTTACGTCATTATACCAGTAGGTGGCGATAAGTGCCTCATTCACTCTGACTCTTTCAAAACGGATACATCAGGTAAGGAATGAAAAAAACAACCTGTGTTTGATCAGAGAATGTCTAATAAGGGGAGAACCTCTGGTTTGATTCTATTTTGAGTTCGTTTTCAATGGCTGAGCAAAAAAAAAAAAAGAATTATTATGGCAATAGGCCTATTGTGTTTAAAATGTAGGCTGAGTTAGTCAATATTAGACCTCCTGTGGTGAAAATGTCTATATGGCTAAATATAGCGCTATGTCTATGTGGTGTTTTAATATGCTTTAAGACAAACCATGTGCAAAGTTATGTCAACACAATTGCTGAGTATTTTCTCTTTAAAACTGCGGTGAACCAAAGGCAGTCTCAAAAACGCGGTTTGAAATCACTGGTGTTTCTGACGCCACAAACTACTTTGTAACCAATCACGTAAAAGTGCGGACGGGCTTTGCCATATCATTAGCCTATCATTATCTAGAAGCCAGGTTATCAAGGTATATGTTGATATGAAAAAATTCGGGTACATTTAGCAATATTGCAGGTGAATTATATAAATTGTCAATATGTATAATGTCGGATCTGGGCCGACACTGTTGCTGTCTGGGAAGGGTGTAGAGTTACATTCAAGCTATTTTAAGGCATGAAAAGAAAAAAATCACAGGAAAACATGTTTAAATATGCCATTTTGGTGATCAAAGATGAGTTTTAAGGGATAAAAAAGGACTACAGGGGCACTTTAACTTACTGTTTCTGTTAGTTGTTTGAAACCCCTTAACCAACATGTTCTCATTTTGCTAGTTCACCTCACAAAAATGCAAGGAGGCATTTATAATTTGACACTACTGTGTCTTTTAATCACTGCACATAGTATGAAATGAGGTTGACTAGAGGCTGATGTGATGTTCATGTGAGTGTTTGTCTTTTGCTTCGGACCTGTTCACAGTATTTGCACAAATGTCTTTAATGAAGTCAGGGGTTCTTGAGACGGGCCATGCCGGGGTTGATGAAAGAGAAGTTCTCAAACATGCTCTGGTCCACGCTGTTGATGATGATACGGTCCGTGACGGAGAGCCGAGGCTTCTCATTTATGAACTCCTTGTCGAAGTTACTACAGTCACTTGCTGATTTCTGTAAACAGAAAGGCTCAATGTGTCAGTCACAGGTAACAGTTTGCGACAAACTCCGTTCCAAAATCTAGCGAGCTGCTGCTTTGCAGTTTAATGTCTACATATGGAGCAGCCTGCTAAGTCAGGTCCCCCCTAACAGTTGATGGACCCCATTGACTTCCATAGTAAGAAAAAAAAACATACTATGGAAGTCAATGGGGTCCATGACAATGACAGTCAATGGGGTCCATGACAATGACAATGCGCTTTATTAATCCGCTTTAAACGCATCTTGACTGTCGTACAGTCTGACATTAATGACAACTGAGATCTTACAGTGTGACATGGCTTACAGCGATGATCATCCGTTACTTCTGATGTAATTGCATTAAATACTGTATGGAATATAGAATAAGTCTGTAAAAAACAACAGTGGATTTAACATCAAAATTTAATGTAAAAATGTGTTATTTAATGTAACCTTCTCCCTTTGCACACTTTGGTCAGTTCAAGAATAATTTATGCAATTGTGTATTGTTTATTTGAAATAATCTAAAATGCAGTTTCGTGAAAATTGACCAGTTGATGGCTGAGAATAGGATCCCTAAAAGCTTTTTATTTCTGTTTCAACATCTATTGCAGAATATTCCATGCATTTAAGTCACCAAAACGAAAATATGAGGAACAAAATTACTTATCTGTGTTCATATTTTTGTGATAGTTGTAGTTCCATTGAGACTGAGACTCATGATACAGGTGATCCTATGCCTAGACTTTTACGGCTGTAATGAACTTACCACAGTGGGCCTGAAGGGCGGCTCCACCTGTCGTTTCTCCAGTGCGTTCCAGTCTGTTTCTTTGAAGAACGGATGCTGTCGTATATTTCCTTTCACTCCCAGCCTTTTCTCCGATTCCCGGACGAATAGCTAGAACCGGTCATAGAACCCCAGTTATAGTTTATAACAGACTGAGACTCACAAAACAGAGTAAAGGGTCCTTTTTTTTGTTGTATTGTACGTCTAAGCTAACCTTTACAAGAATGTCCTTCGCGTCTCTAGGTAACCAGCGTGGGTAGCATGGGTCATCAGTGCGAATCGACTGAAACAACTCTTCCTCGTCGTGTCCGTGAAATGGGGATTGGCCAATCAACATCTCATAAAGAAGGACACCAAATGACCACCAGTCTACAGAAGTCCCATATTTGTGCCCAAGCAGAATCTGCGAAACATACAAGGTATAGTACAAATATCTTTTATTCATTTATTTGCCTAATTTTATTTAAAATTATGCAATTATTTTTAAGTGAAATAAAAGTAAAAATGTGTGTGTATATACTTTTATTTTATTTAAAAAATATACACTACCAGTCAAAAGTTTTGGATCGGTGCGATTTTTAATGTTTTTAAAAGTCTCTTCTGCTCACCAAGGCTGCATTTATTTGATAGTAGTGTATATATACCGGTATATATATATATATATATATATATATATATAATTATGGTGGTAGAGATCCTCACCTCAGGGGCGATGTAGTCTGGTGTTCCACAGAAGGTGCACGTTCTAGCTTCTCCAATCATGTTCTCTTTACACATTCCAAAATCTGCAATCTTGATGTGACCATCAATGTCTAGTAAAATGTTATCCAGCTTAAGATCTCTGCGAAGTTAAAACACACATATGAATCAGCAATGTTCTTTGAGGAAGCTGTTTTTTTTTTTTTTTATTCAATGTAAACACTTAAAGGGGTCATGACATGAGAAATATAATTTGCCTGGATCTTTTGACATATACGAGGTCTTTGTACCATTAAAACTTCCTGCAAATTTCATAGCTTAAAACGCCCTCCTCATTACTAGTTTTTTTTATTCGCTTTGATACTATTTTCACAAGTAAGGTGTACAGTTTAAAAAAAACGTTCAAAAAATAAACATCACTTAACACTATCAAAATTTTTAACAATGTAATTGAAACCAAAACCAAGTATACTTGTCATCAAGTTTTTTCAGCATATCTATCTATCTATCTATCTATCTATCTATCTATCTATCTATCTATCTATCTATCTATCTATCTATCTATCTATCTATCTATCTATCTATCTATCTATTAGGGCTGTAACGATACGCGATATAAAATCGAAATCGCGATACTCAGGTCCACGATCCTGTATCGCGATGTGGGAAGGCAGAATCGCGATCAAACCCCTTCCAACTCCCAGAGTTATCCTTCCTGTCCTGAACCAGGGCTCGAATTTCGGCGCGGGTATTGCGCATAATTCTAATCATTCCCGCAAATCATTCTTTTAACAACTATCTTCCAGACGCAATTTCACAAACAGCGTGAGTGTTCAGCGGTGCCGCGCGTCTTCTATCTCTTCTCATAATGTGTTGTGTAAGGCAAGCATCAAGCGCTGCGGCGATAATACACACTCGCGTTTTGGAGTCGGGACCATAGACTGTAAGGTCGGGACATGACGGAATATTCACTTGCACAATCGGGCCAGCAGTGCATCGTGACTGAAGTCTTTTTAAGTCTTACCAGTTTAAACATTCAAGCGATTTTAAACTAATCAGTGCTCGCGCGCTCTCTGAGATTATTTTCTATGCGCACATTCATAGAAAATTCGCCTCAAAAACAGCTGGCCAGTAACTATTTTTCGCGGATTATATTGCTTTAACACGCAAATTTGTCAATTTCGGTCTTTGTGAGTAGGCTATACTCTAAATATAGTCGGTTTTGTCTTTAATAAGCATAAAACGCATGCCAGTATAATGAACACAGGATCCGTGCACTAGCTCTTAAAGTGACGGAAGCCATATGTGTCTGTCATTAATTTTGTTGTCGAAACAACAAAAGATGGCTTTAAGTTAAAGGAATCAGGTTTAATAGCCTATGTATTTAATTTATTCAGGACTAAAATACTACCCAGTGTTATTTTCCATTTGATTACTTTATTCAGTTTCTGCATATGAATACTAGTGTTAGACCTATTCAAAAACTTTTCTCTTTAATTGTCTTTGTTTGTATCTTTATTCTATTGTATTTATTTGTGCTACCTTTTTCAATTTAATTAAACAATTTAAATCAAGCTTCCTTGTGATGTGTAAATTCTTAACAACAATATTACCTCATTGCAAAAATGCAATGAGCGCAAACATTTAGGCAAGATAAATGTAATAATTTTGTTTGGAAAAAATGCCCCCCCTTTCTCCCCCTCAAACAAAAAAAATCCCCCCCATGAGAATCATCTAAGGGGGGATTTCCCCCCCATTTTCCAAAACGAAATTCAGGCCCTGAGAACTACCACATCTTTAAATTACTATTAGTATTATTTGAAGTTAACATTATAAAATACGTAGACCTACACCACAAAACTAGTTGAGGATAAATTATTTAAAATTTGGCAATTTCAGCATTATAGACGTGAAATTTGCAGCCAAAACTTGAAATATAAGTTCTCAGAAAGTGCATTAAATTAATCCTCAATTGACCGGCAACACGTCCAACATGCAGATGCATATCCCACGGCACCATCCCGAAATCAATTTAGTTGGAGTACAGAACACAACCCAAAAGCAGCAGCCTACACTGCCTAGTATAGTTTAATAATTTGCATAGTTATTATTGTTCTTTGGTGTTTAGATTATACAGGTTTTTCCTAATGTTATTTAATTAAAATACCGGTATTTTTTTTTTCTCTCAAAATCTCTTTTTTTCACCACAAGCCCCGCCCCCTCAAGCCCCGCCCCCGTGATAGAATCGCGATACGAATCGAATCGTGGGTCAAAAATCGTGATACGAATCGAATCGTGGGTTTGGTGTATCGTTACAGCCCTACTATCTATCTATCTATCTATCTATCTATCTATCTATCTATCTATCTATCTATCTATCTATCTATCTATCTATCTATCTATCTATCTATCTATCTATCTATCTGTCTGTCTGTCTGTCTGTCTGTCTGTCTGTCTGTCTGTCTGTCTGGAAACTTATAGCTCATTTTATGGTATAGAGTTTTCACAGTAGTGAATACCTGTACACAATGCCTTTAGAATGTAGAAACTGCAGGCCGCATATGATCTCTGCTGCGTAGAACCTATCAACAAAGAGAAGAGAGGAGGTGGAAGAGGGTGAGACCACAGAAAAGAAGAGTAGGCACAGAGTCTGAGCTTTTAAAATGTGTTTGTGGGGGCTGCGTATGAGTCTCACGTGGACCGTGGGAGATCGAATCTGTGGCAGGTCTGAATGTGGAACATTAAGTCGCCTCCGTTTAAGTACTCCATCACGAAGAAAAGATTTTCCTTTAAAGACCAATACAGAAACAATCAGTTCACACTGGTCTAACATAACCAAATTAATATGTTAGAGTGGCTCAATGTGTCATAGGAGTGGGTGGAATGTACAAAGGGCCTTTTATAATTATTATGTTTTTATTAATTCTAAATAAAATGAATACATTTTAAATATAATGGTCCTTCTTTATTGCAGACCCTTGTTATTTTCTTAGAAAGATTTTTTTAATAACAATATTTTAAAATCCACAGAACAAAAGCATAGCAAATATATAACAACCAGTCTCTCTACCCGTTGACACATTGCTATGTGTCGAACTGCGCATCGCTAAGTGTGTCAGTGTGTATTACCCTGGTCTGGAAGGTGCAGTAGAGGTGTGTGAGAAAGGGGTGTTCCCAGGCCAGAGACAGCACTCTCCTCTCCACCATAGTGCATTCAACATCATCATCCATCAGAACTACATCTTTCTTCAGGGCCTTCACTGCAAAGAACTGCCCTGAGCCTTTCAGCTCGGCCAGGAAAACCTGCAAACACACACACACGCATATATGCTAGATTTATAGGAAATGATGTTCCCAGAAGCAGTTTAATAGGATACAGTCATATTCAGTGGCGACTTTTATAATAGCTGTCAATAGACATTACCAAAATAGCCACAAAATGAACTGACTTCAAGGGACATTGAGTAATCAGTTAAATCGAAGTACAGTCGGTACCAAGTATCCAATTTGGAACTGGTCACACTGTAGGTATATTGCTAACAATTACCAAGTTTAGTTTCAATACGGCAATGTTTTCCCAAGATTTAGCTTCATTTCCTGTTTGGTATTCAACGATTATTCATTGAAGATTTTCATTTTGTCTCAGTTTGACCCAAAGAGTCAAAGGATACTTTGTATTTAGGCCAGTCGTTTCAAAAGTTAGTATATGGTAGCCGTATATACAGTATAAGAGTTAAAATTGAAATTTGAGAAACTCTTACCTTTCCAAAGCTTCCTTTGCCCAGCATCTTATGCAGAATAAAATGGTCTAGAGTGAATTTGTGGTGCTCTTTGCGTGGGGTGGCATACAGGGGCTCAGGCTCTTCAAGACTTGGCCTGCGGCCCTTAGCTGCAGAGTCCCAGGAAATACCTTGATGCTCTGTTGGGAGGAACGGAGAAGAGCTGGACGTCAATAGATGGAACAAGACGGCATCAATAAATCAATTGCTCTGTTCCAAAACCTGATTAGCTTTTCAGAAAGCCAACGTTTTTTTTTTGCCATTATACTGCAAAATTATGCCTTACAGGATGTCATTTTGGTCAAAATTTCATGTGGAATGTTTCTTTATCAATCCCAGAATGCTCAGTAATGGTGGAATGAACGTCAATAGATGTTATTTATGAAGATATTTTATCAAGTACTGGTCAAATATTCACAGAAAATAATTGTATCTAATTAAAGCATTCTATTTTATTCTGTGTTTTTTTGTGTGTACTATAATTGTGTGCTTCTTAGAGTATGACACTAGCTTAGCGTAGCAACTTAGTTAGCTTAGCAACATGCTAATGTCAAATTCCACTGAAATCAACTGTAATTTGTGCTTAAATTTAAATTCAGTGTTACGGGAGACCTCTCAATCAACTACCTAGTTCCTTATAAGCACAGCTCCATTCTGGGAAGTTTTAGACAGGGAATGCTCTTCGTTTTTATTGAAACCATTCCTTACACAGGGAATGTTTTAGTCACCTAAAATAATTTTGACAATGTTATAACCCTAGAAATGGGCAACTCCCGGTGCAGTGTACTTAATACTGAACTCGGTAGCGCACTGTCTAAGGCAGGGGTTTTCAAAGTCAAAGACTGGGCTTCCCGTATGACACAATGGCACCTCCCCACCCCCAATTTTTCCTAATTTTCAATAGCGATCAGTGCGCCGAGACCGCCGCGCACACACGGTTTGTTTGGTCGTCAATAATAACGTACTCTCGTCTCGTGTGCCTAATGTAATCGTCTTTATCTTGTTTACAGTCGTCATCCATCAAAACTTTACTAGTGACTCATTACTACAGTGACTCATTTAACCATGTATTACTGTCTTTTTGTCTACATTTAAAAAATTTACAAATTCACTTCATTTCATATTTACATGCAATGAAGGGATTCCCCAACTTTTTTGTCAGCTGAACCTCTTTGACCTGATGTATTTACTTGAAGTTTACTTGAGTTTGGTCAATAATAAAATCAATAATAATAATAACAACAATAACAATAAAATTAAGTTCACAGTTCTCTGATGTTGGTTAATGGTCACATGACTTGCAGGTAAACAAATAAAATATTTAATCTATTTTAGTAAGTGTTTTTTTTTTTATTGTTTTTTTTTTTAAAATTATTTATTTTAATTTTTTATTTGTATTAATTTAATTAATAGCTTTTCATTAAACTCATGAACCCCAGTCTGGGAAATCCTAACATAATGTAATATTTAATGCACTTCATGTTGTTGATAACAAAGAATGGACTATATTTTCTTTCTCTTTGTATTTTTAAATCAATATGGTACAAGATTATCCTTTTCAAATCAATGTGATAAACGAGTTACATCAAAAGTAATCTAAAAGTAGTCAGATTATATTAACTTAAATGTGTAATGAAATGGAGTATGTAACTAGGGGTTGAATGACTTTAAAGTCGACTATTATGTTATTAAATCCGAGTCGACGTCGACTAGTCCCTGATGACGTCATTAATGAACAAAAATAAGCCTGAACTTTGTTACACCGCTATGGCATATGACACATGACACAGCGCTGCCCACAAGGCTATTGCTCCTTCATCTATTTTATTATTGTCTTTGGGTCATTATATTTCTCACAGATTTCTGCTGGTTCTAAATCAGATACAGATAAGCTGTTTAAAACGTGCATTCACCCGATCAATTTTGAGCATCCAGATGGTATAATCAAACATACCTTGTGGAGCGCTCTCAGAGTATGGATTTATTTGTCATTTTAACTGTTTGAAATGGAGCGTAAAAGTTGACTTCAAAGATTTCTTATCCTGTTGTGCCCTCAATAGGCCATGATCAGCGACTAGTCGACGTCAAGCTTAAAGCGTCATGGGTGGCAGAGAATTAAAGTCTCACAGAGATCGTGCTTTGAAGCCAAATACACTATTCTCTCTAGTTCGACAGTCTAAAATCTATTCAGAACTGTGTGAGTGCATGTCGTTTTGGCACATGGTATACGTACCTTTGCGTGGCAGAGCTGGTGGAGGCGTGAGAGGAGAAATGGGTAAGTGGCCTGAAGGCTCTCTAGTGACCCCTGGCTGACTTACGCCCACTGGACCCTCTCGACCAACAATATCACTATCCCGCGAGCTCCGAGCCTGCTATGGAAAGAAGCACATTGAATTCATATCAGATTAAACAACTCACACCACATGATAATGTTGGTCATACACACCCTTCAGGCTTTGTCATGTTGTGCCCAGCATGTACTATAAAACCTACTCTAACGCATAACTATGGTCCCTTTGTACATAACTGCTTTCATTTGCATTGAGATGAACATTTTCATTTAAATAAATATGGCAGACGGGTGTCAATAGATATTGCCCTGGTTTCACAGACAGAGCTTAGATTTAGCCAGGTTTATAAACGTGCCTTAGAAAAAAACATTACCGGTGTGCATCTTGAGACAAAACAATGGCACTGATATATTTTAAGATATGTCAGTGCAAGTTGCTTTCAGTTAAAACAGCTCAATAAAGCATTTTAGTCTGGGACTTTTGCCTTTTGTCTGTGGAACCGGGGGATTGATTATAAATTTATTGAATCCAGTACTCTAAATTGTTTTTAGAGCATGACATTGTTAGCTTAGCATCATGCTAATGCCAAACTCCACTGGAATAAACTGTGCATTACTTGACTCAAGTTGCGCTATTACTGTACTTTGAGTGGCTTGTTAACAAAAGTCCTGCCCATGAAGATGGTAACAAATTTCAGTAATAGAGCAACCTTCAAATGTTTGTGCCATTAAACCCATGTACCATTAATCCCATGTGTTATTAGGTAGCTACTAGCTAGGCTATTAACATGTATAGTTTAACTAGCATGTTCTTCTCAAACTGTTGCTCTGCTGGACAGTAGTTGACCTAAAAGAGACAACTAAATGTGCAATATCATTAGCGAAATTTTGGCGAAACCCAACTTGAACTCTTACAAAATCTGCCTATGGAAAAATAGTGAAATTCCCCAGCTAAAATGACTGGATTACATTCGCAGAACAACAGTAAATGAAAATGGTGTGACATCCGTTTCATTGCATAACGTGTGGGTCATAATGTGTGTTTCTTCCAACCTGTTGAGTCCCAATCATAGCCAGTGCCTCTGCCATTAGCTTCTGGTTGACGCCACAAAGGTTTGCAACTTTCCTCTGACATTTATGGTGAACGTTCATGCCACATTCTGCAATGAAATCACACTTAAAACACTAAACTAAAATGCAAATCTAAAATTGTTATGTGGATATTTTTATACATTTAAAGTATATAAAAACATGGTTATGCTTTTTACGCTTTTACTTTGCATTGCTTTTACTTTGTGTTGTATCAATGGGTTTCATCTAAATGCAACTGGATTTTCCTTGTGCAAATGCTTAAAAAAAATCAGGCCTTAGGGGTCATTCTTCAAAACAGATTTGCTTCCCTTATTAATGTTCTTTATTCAGTTTTAAAAATGAATTAGCTCATGCCAACTTTTAATTTCTGTTTATATATACATTTTTTGAACTTTACATATTTAGTAACTAAACTTTATTTTTACTTAACATTTTGACTTTATTCTCTTTATTCATAATATATTATTTAAAAGACTTGTGCTACCATCATCATATCTTTACCCTTTTAAACTAATAAACTCCATAACTCTATATTTCCAATACATCCTCCTTCTGGTAAATGAACTTACTTAAGGAACAAGCAAATGTCTGCTAAACATCAGAATTATATAATAGAAATTTGCATTAAAAATCACCTTTTAAAATGGAAAAGGCGACAGTTTCACAGAATGACCCTTAGACATTCATAGTTGACATGTGGTTGTGTAATGAATCACCTTCACATTTAAGGCCCTGCCGGGCAAGACCCCATAACAGGGTTCCACAGTGCTCACAGAAGGTCGGGCTCATGTAGTTATACACTTTAAACCTGTGAGGCATGTCAATCTTAAATCGTTCCTTATGGATCTGAAACACACACACACACATATTTAGCATTGAACACATACTGAACATATACTGACACACAATGTCAACATGGAAAGTCATGAATTTTTCTTTCAGCGTGACTCAGTAAAGTGTGGAAAGACTGTTTTATGACGTCTACCAATAACTGAAAGAGGAAGGAGTCTGAGACAAAAAGATGAATCATTTTCTTCAATACTTATAATTATACTTTCATCTGCAGATTACTAAAGCTTTGCTGAATCTATATTTAGCCTACAGTTGCACAAAATGTCCAAAGGTCTCTGGCTTAAAAACCAGGGCATCAAAACCCTTTTGTGAGGGTAGAGTCTACTAACAAAACGCTTTGTGTGCTTGATGTGTTTGCATGAAAGGGCGATGAAAACCTTGTATTTACCATAGTTTCTTTACTGTTTATTGCTGAGCCTGTGCATTTGGCGATGACTTTGTCGATACACTTTTTATGGATGGCGGCATTGCATTCTGGGAATTAAAAAAAAGAAAGAAATGTGTACGAGGAATCCTGACACTGAGTCAATGGAAACTTGTTTAAGAACTGCAAAAGCAATGAGAATGATGTGAGAAAAAATACTTACGTCGACACTGATATCCCTGTTTATTCAGGCCCCTGAAGTAGCAAAAGAAACCATAAAGAAAATATTTGTAATGTGTACTGTAATGTAACATACAGTGCTAAATTACAACAAAAAAATAAAATATATATATTTCCACAGTTATGTTATCAGCATATCATACACCTCATATCATACAACGACTATACTGTATAATATAAGATAAATACATTTTTTATTGAATTTTAATATTTAGACTATTTAGAACGTAAATTATTTATTTTTATTGATTGATTCAGTGATTGTGACATTTTAAAGATTTAAAACATCAGAAAGTCTTACTGTTCACAATTCCTCAGTTCACAGCATTTGAAAGTTTTCTTTTTCAAAATGTTTCTTCTAAATGTTATAGCATTGCCTCTAATTATGCATAATTACATACAACTAAACATAACCCTAACCCTATAGTAAGTACATGTAGTTAGTTAATAATACTCAAATTTATAGTACTTAAATTTATCATTTTACTGTAACAAGGACACCTTAAAATAAAGTGAAACCAATTTGTCTTTTCTTTTTTCCCATTATTTCTGCATGTTTCCATCCAATCAAATCACAATAGATAAATCCATAAAGTCTTGGCCCACATTATTTCCTCCTGAATATTCAGTTTCACTCAAAAATGCGTCAAATTATGGAAGTTGGGCTGTATGTAAAAATCAATTTTGATTTCTTAGTATCAGAGTTGTTTTACTGTACATGTGGTTGTTTGAGAGTGTGTATAATACCAGACAAACTCCTTGCAGACTGAGCAGAAAGTCGGCTGAGGGAAAAAGGTGGCGGTAAACTCGTGACATTTGACCACGTGAACTTTGGCCTGTTTGATGGCTCCTCGTCTGTGGTGCAGGGCGAACATCCCTTCTCTTTCCCGTTCAGTTTCTCCATCCGGTTCACCGTGACCTGCAGCGTCTAACAAACAAGAACCCACACAAAAAGACCCCTAGTTGAAAAACGCCTGGCTAGATCCATCAGTATATGAAAACATGATAACATAATAATATAAATAATGTTAATGTACTAATCTGTGAGAGACTGTGTGTAGATCTGAATAAAAGAAACACTCACCACTCCTCTCCAGAAAATACCGCGCCTCCATCAGTAAGCGACCCTGTGGCTTCAGTTCCACCTATAATACACACAAATAAATCTTACCAAATCATTGAAATTGTATTGAAAACATTTCACATATCAATTCCCAATCAATGATATTATATATTCTTTTAATATGAGTGTTTAGTGTTTAAATTCAAATGTATCTTTTTAAATAAATAACATTAATAACAAAAAAAATGCAGCTGTAAGTCAACGGATGTACAGCATATCAGCTGAGGGAACATTTGGTTCCATTTTGTTTTGCTTTGGTACAGTGAGCGTGCCGCCACGCAAACACTCACCCAGATCTCCAGTTTGCCGTTCTCCTTCTTGCAGCGCGACGCGAGTGTGTCGAGCTGGACGGTGGCCTCCGTCTTTAGCTCAGCCGTCTTGTCCTTGACCACCACATGCATTACCCGTCCTCTGTGGACGTGAGCGTCGAATGTGCTGCTCCAGGGGGGATACATGGTGGGACGCTTCTGCTTGTACACCTGACCCTTTTCTACGGATACACACACACACACACACACACTAAATCAGAGTTCCACACCACTGAAAACTTACTGGACTAAGCTTTAAAAGTATCAGCAAAACAATCCTCTATGTGTTTCACAGCATTATGACTGGATTTACGGGATCTGAAACTAATACTACTGGAATGACACAATGCTCTGACTGTGTGTTATAGTAATATGACAGCTTTTACTCCAGGAAAAACATACATATAGAACCATACAAATGAAACCATGCAAATTTGGTAGAACGTCGACATAAAGTCAACATGACATTTACAATCAGCTCGATTTCTACCTTTTTATCAGTGCATGTTACTGGTCTTATTGTGGATGATGGAAGAACGCATATTAGAAATATGTTTATCTTCGTAATTTTTCATTACTTGCTCCGCCTCTGAAACAACATTCCTATTTGCTGATCAAAATGAAAGCAGGTGGATTGGAGGGGAGGGGCTAAAAAAATAAGTGTTCGCAAACACTCTTTCATGTTGAGTTATATTTGTAATTTTGCATCCAACACATTAAAAAACAACAACTGGACATGCAGTTTATCCGGCAGTGGAGATGTTTCATAGAAGTTTGAGAATGACGTGACGGCGCTTTATATTTTGACAGGTATGTGCGGTTGTGGTTTGGTTCTAAAGATTGAAACCAAAGGGGTTGCTGGGAAATCCTTGTGTCTGCAAATACTTCTCAGTGGCCATGTGATACGTGTGTGTATAACTCTATCATTTCATCTAATCTGATTTCCACCCACATATAGAGGTCAGTGCAAGTAAATGTGCTTAAAAAAATAACCACAGTCCTCAAAAAATGCACTTTTGCAGAAATGGTTCCTTTAATATAAATTTGATTCTTTGTTCATTTGCTGCGCTGATGTTGGCGTTCTGTCACATTCACTTGCAGTATTATATCAGTCTTTAATAATTCACACTTTCTTTTTTAATCTTGCACGTTCTTGACAGTAGTATTAATGTTTGATTCATGAATGAATCATTGTTATTATAAGTCTTACCAATGAATTGGTTGATTCAGTTTAAAATTAGATTCAATTCTCAGTTTCTCAACTCACTAAATCAATTATCCAGTTGCACTTTTTGACATTTACAGTTACCCACATCTTGTCGGCCATCTTCAAAACAACTTGAATTATCACACATTTGGCTGTCAAATGCTATCAGTCATGATGAAAATTGTGCTGGCTTCATATTTTTGGGAACTGACTTTATGTCTGTCATCATGAACTTATTATTTTGCTGAATAGTTAGTCTAATGACTAAGAAGTACCCCTCTTTAAAATTGGGGGAAGTGTGTGAGATGAATCACAAGCTAAATGGTAAGAATAATGGGAAAGAAACAAACGCAACCCTTTTACTGACAATGACACGTATGACACACATTTCCCTTGAAATAAAATTCACACTTAGACAAATAATATTGTATAAACTTTGACCAAGCACATTGCTTGCACACTTTCACAGTTTCACCTACTGAGAACTGAGTAGGTGGGTCATGTGGGTGTTTTCTTCCACGATGGGCAATTTTGTCCTTGTAGACTTTTAGTAAATATACTTCTAAAAAAAATATTATTTTCATATACTAGTTTCTTTAACACTTAACATGTACATGCATCACAGGAAAATTCATTCTTTTATTATTCATTCTTTTATTTTCTTGAACCACCACAACTCAAACCACCATTTATTTTGTGGTAGAAATGACTTTTTTAAATACATTTTTGCATTATAGCTTTTTATAAATCATGACAATAATACACACAATTAAATTATATTTTCAGACTTTTTTTTCCATACTTTGCCAAAATCGCAGCTTGATGCACAATAAAAACATTCTATTTTCTAAATAATTTACTTCGATTTTTCTTTTTCTTTGCACATCACATAATTCATTTTTAATCTTAAACATGCTTTTCACTGATACTGTTGACTACTTAATAACTAAGCACATTTCACTTATAGTGAAAAAAAATATATATTGGGGGTAAAATTGTTGGTTGTTGTGGTAATGACACCAGATTTTCACAGTTTTAAACAAGTAAAAATGTCATATTGTAAGATAAAATATAAATAGATATGTTAAAATATATATTTTTTATATTTATATATATTTACCTTTTGTCCTAGACTTTTAAACTTAAAATAAGAAAATAATATATCTATAAATCGGAAAATAAATATCTATAAATAGAAAATGCATTTGAAAAAAAGTGTCAAAAAGAAATTATGAAGGCATGGTAAAAAGCCAATCCTAATGTGACCATCATATAACAAAAGAACAAAAGTTAAATAAATTCAACATCTGGCTGATAAAAATGGTAACACTGAAGTTTAGGGCCCATTTCTCACTATGATCTAGTTGCTTATTAGCATGCATATTACTACGATATTGGCTGTTTATTAGTACTTATAAAGCATATATTAATACCTTATTCTGCACGATTATATTGTGCATCCCTTAATCCTACCTAATACCTAAACATAACAACTACCTTACTAACTATTAATAAGCAGTAATTAGGAGTTTATTAAGGCAAAAGTCTTAATAGTTAGTTAATAGTGAGAATTGGACCCTAAACTAAAGTGTGACGATAAAAACGTAATAATGCCCATAACTGAAGAAACTACTCCATGAGCGTTTTTTTTTTTTTTTTTTTTTGCACATTACACTTAAACTATCCTGATATATCTGTAGCAAAGATATCTTACCAGTCTCCACAGCCTCTTTCATGTAGACCGCACAGTATGGATTGAGTACTTCTTCATGGTAGGCAAGCCCTGGGTCCATCTCAAAGCTGGAAAAACCAATCCTCAGGAACGGAGACATGACTGTAAACTCTCAGGAATAGCTTCTGATATACAGTGTCCGCTGGTTAATTCCACTGTGGGAATGTTCTGAACAGTGATGTACTCCTATCTGATGCTTATTTTCATAGTCGTTGTGTCCGTCATATGGGTTTCCTAACTCTCAGTAGTGGACAGTGCTGGTCTGGAAGCGTGGTGTCCTTGTTTCTGTGGCATCCAAAGTAATATTTTTCAAATTGAACATTTAACTTTGTCCTTTGTCCATCACATCTGTCTCTCTTATAGCCACAGTTTTAGTCGAAATGATGTTGATCTGTTAAAGAAGATTATATGATGTTTATTAACAAAGTCTCCAGGAAAAATGCCTTTAACTATACACTAAACCCTATAGAGGAAAACTAGCTGCAAACAACCTGGTTGTAAGAACAGAAGATCATTCTGATATGCTCTCTGTCTAATGGAAACCAGATGAACACTGAAGCTGAAGACATGCGTTAACTTCTTTCCATACTACAAGTGCCCTTTAAATGAACATGACACCAGTTCACAGCAACCACCAATGTTTCACTCAATCAATAACACTTCACAGAAAACTCAGCAGAAAACAAGGAAACTAAGCAGGTTTGTTAAACAGTGGGACCACAGAACCACAGTGAACACTTACAGAGTACTTACCAGTTGAAAGCCGTGAGGTAACTGGTGAAGGGAGAGAAACCAAGAGAAACGACTATTTATAGATGTGAAATACAAAACTCCCATCCAAACAGCTAGGATTCACTTCCCCGCTGAGTCACAGTCAAACATACAGTACTAACACACACACACACACGTCATGGTCAGCGATTTACACTTTGTTCAAACTACTCTACAGTGGTGTGAATAAGTTATTACCCCCATGCTAAAGTTGCCTAAAAAGAGGAATAAAAAATCATCTTTTGGAAATTGATCTTAATGCCTTAATTAGAAAAATGAGGAAAAATCCAATCTTTAAGGACACCAATTTTCTTTGTGTATGAATAATGTATCATAAATAAATAAATGTTCTTCCTTAAAATACAGGGTGCATAAGTCAGGCCCCCCCTATGTTAAATTCCCATAGAGTCAGGCAGATTTTTATTTTTAAAGGCCAGTTATTTCATGGATCCAGGATAATATGCATCCTGATAAAGTTCCCTTGGCCTTTGGAATTAAAATAGACCCACATCATCACATTCCCTTCACCATACCTAGAGATTGGCATGGTGTTATTTCAGTTAGCCTAATAGCTGGTTTGATTTGCATTGAAAGATGATCTTATGGAAAGTACCCCATGCCAATCTCTAGGTATGGTGAAGGGAATGTGATGATGTGGGGATATTTTAATTCCAAAGGACAAGGGAACTTTATCAGGATGCATATTATCCTGGATCCATGAAATAACTGGCCTTTAAAAATAAAAATCTGCCTGACTCTATGGGAATTTAACATAGGGGGGCCTGACTTATGCACCCTGTATTTTAAGGAAGAACATTTATTTATTTATGATACATTATTCATACACAAAGAAAATTGGTGTTCTTAAAGGTTGGATTTTTCCTAATTTTTCTAATTAAGGCATTAAGATCAATTTCCAAAAGATGATTTTTTATTCCTCTTTTTAGGCAACTTTAGCATGGGGGTAATAACTTATTCACACCACTGTATTTGGATGTTATATCATGCAATTCTGAGAAAAAAAAGTCAGAATTGCAAGATAAAAAGTCCAAATTACCTATTTTAGTTTAATTCAGTGGCAGAAACAAGCTTCCATGTTTTACTGTAAAACATTATTGTTAGTTTAACTTAAAAAAAGTAAGTAATGAGTTCAGTGAAGTTAAAAAAAATTGTTAATACAATGGAGATTGCTTTAATCAACAGAAAAACTGAAAATATTATGTTATCTGAACCACGTCAATTATCTAAGTTGATTTGACAAAAGAAAAAAAAAAGAAAAATCATGAGAATATTTTTTTACAGTGATTCATATGTTATTCATATGTTAACAAAAAAAAAGAAAAGATTTTTACACGCAAGAAATTGTGAGTGGCACTAACTTACCACCACAATATTAAAGGTGGCATAACGAACCAATAAATATGTTTTAAAAATACTGTTATAGAAATATTCTGTTACGCTCAATCGACAGCATTTGGGGTGTAATGTTAATTAGCCTACAACATAATATCAGTTCCACTCATCCTTTGCCTCAAACAAAAAATAGGGGAAAAGAAGGAAAAATCTGTTGCGGAGAAGTACTTATTATGGAAGTAAATGGAGCCAATTTTTGGAAGCTTTAAAAGCGAAAATATGAAACTTACAATTTTAGTAAATTTACAAATTATGTAAAGTCGTTATCGTAATTTTTTTTGGTCGTTTTAGGTTTTTAGCATTACGTTGTCTTCGCAACAAAGATGTAAAATTGGATGCAACTACACATAAATGGTTAGTAAGCGGTTTGTTTACGCTAAAATCACTGTAGTAGTACGCATACTATTTACGTCTGGTATAGCTATACTATTGAAAGGTGAGGATTTTGATGTTGGCCCGATTTAATTCCATTGTCAGTGACTTGTATAAAAGTATTTATGTAGTAAACAACATAACAAAAATGTTGCGAGGGTGTTGCTAAATGTTTGTTAAGGTGCTCTAAGTGGTTGCTAGGGTTTCTGAGCGGTTGTTAAGGCGTTGCTAAGTAGATGTTCTGAGTCAAAATAGCCCTTCTCTAAGTCTCTGTGATGTTGTTTTTTCATGTTTTTTTTTTCCATCCAACATATGAAAAAGTGAATACCAAAAGATGATTGTAGATGATATAGAAAGACAAAAACATATACTAAAATGTAATGTGCAAACAGAAGAAAAAAAAACACTTATTGTTATGCTAAAAAGTGGGAACAACAGCTAACAATACATTCATATATAGTTATTTTTCCTTAGCTCAAGTTTCTCAAAACTCTCTTTCTTGTTTGGTAAATGCGTCTGCATGGCTGCCAAGCGCTTCCTGTCGACTGACTGACAGCTCAAACCGCACTTCCTGTATCACTGAAGGACTGTAGCGCAGATAGCGAGTTTCTGCTGTTACCTGCTTCTGCTACCAGGATAGACAGAAGAGAGGCAAACCACACAGCAGGACACAGACAGACACTTTAATGTCATAACTTTATAGTAGGCCTTATTATAGGCTATTGATATTTCATCAAACGGTGTGTGTGTGGTCAATACTGAACTATCCCAGCTTGTGAAAGCTGCAGGGGTGGAAGAAGTGTGGGATCAAACAACAAACCCCTATTGAACTCACACACTGGACTGGACTGAACTGAACTATAAATACATTTGAGCTTTTGCAAGCCTCTTGGGAGGTTCAACTCATAAGGCTTGTAAAAGAATATTCCGGGTTCAACACTTATAAGCTCAATGGACAGACTCTGTGGCTCATTTACCAAAGAAAATATTCTCTCATCTCTCATCAAAACACATTACATTAATTCACTTACAGTGGACGTCTATGGGGCAAGCAAACGTGGAGCGTTTATAAGCAGAAATGTGAAGGTTGCATTTTGTTAAAGCAATTTTTCTGTATAAAACTGTGTGTTATTTGAGCTGTAGTAGTCTAAATTGCCTTTTTTTTTTTTTTTTTTTTTTGGGATGCATGGGACCAGGGTTTTTACCGTGAACTAGAACTATTAAAAACCTTTCTGTTCAAATAAAGCTGAAATCAAATAAAATATAAGCATTAGTTGGGAAAACTTGCTAAAAAACTGAAATATGGTTAGGCCCAAGTTGAACCACTAAAATTATTAACTGGAAATAAATATAGACTAAAACTGAACTAAAAACAAATTAAACCTTAACAGCCATATTTAAAAAAAAAATTATAATAATAAAATGATGAAAAAAATCAAATTAACCTGGAAAATAAACGCATAAAAATAAAAGCTAAATAAAAATATAAATAAAAATAAATAAATAAAATAAAACTGGATGGGACTACTTTTCTTCTCTCAGACCCTGTTCTGATATGTGTGCGTCTTTTTAAGTCTCTTGTTTTCAGATCTTTTTGTTTTTAGTGTTGCATAATGTAAAAAAACACGGATACCGGACTTACTCGTTTATTATGAATTGGGGCTGCATGATGTATCGTTTTAGCATAGATGTTGCAATGTGCGCATCAGCGATAGTCACATAGCAGAATGTGCTACGACAGGTTTTGGGATCGTAGTTGATCCGTGTGGACCACAGTTTATAACGCACCTGATTCTCGGATTAATTGCAAAGTTAAAAAATCATAGAGCGAAAGCTATTCCATTGCACGTGTTTTAGGTCCTGTCAGTTTAAACATTCATAAGGCAGCACAAACAACATGCAAATACTGAAAAACGGACACATACACCCATAATTCTGTCAAAATGCCCGTCCCGCAGAGTATTCTTGTTAACACAATCTTAAGTGAACGTAAACAGTTGAGATAGAAAACGGATGCGTATCATTATATTGGATCCGTGCGTTCGGCCTTAAAGTGACGGCAGCCTAATATTCCTGCTGCTGTCTATCATTAATGTTAATCATACAATAAAATACAAAGATAAAATCACTTTTGTAGCTTTAACAAAGATTTATTATATGTATATAGTGAGCAGTGTTATTTTGCATTTGATTTTTCAATTTGTGTACCTAAATACTGTTAGACTTGCCTGAAAAACATATTAACATAAAGCCCTATTTATGTCATTTGTATCTTTGTTCTATTGTATTTATCTATGCTCGTAATTTGTTTTCTATGCAGATGCACACCAATAATTCTAGAATGATTCATTCTTTCCAAATAGAGCTATTCAAATCATCTGGTGAAACTTATATCGCAATATATATCGCAGAAAAGCAAAATATCACAATGTAATTTTTCTCCAAAATCATGCAGGCCTTCATCAATTTCCAAAGGAAAAATGGGAAATATCAATTCAAAAGTTTGGGGTCAATAGATTTTTAAAAAAAGATTAATACTTAAGTTAATTTTATTCACATACACAAATACATATTTCAAATAAATGCTGTTCTTTTGAACTTTCTGTTCATCAAAGAGTCCAGAAAAATATTAATCAGTTTTCAACATTGATATACTAATAAGAAATGTTTCTTGAGCAGCAAATCAGCATAATTTTAGAAGGGTCACGTGACACTGAAGCCACCACAGGAGTAAACTGAAAGATCGAAACCTGGGTGTTTCAGGAAATGGAGACATCCAGAACCTGGACTGACGACCACATCTATTGTTTGACAAACAATGT